GTCACTTCTTCTGGCTAGCAGGTGTAATATCAGCACCTTCAGGTATGCCAGGGATCGGTGCAACTACCTACCCCTGCCGTAGCCATCCTGGTGCTGCTCTTTAGCACCGTGTAGTCACGCTTCCCTTGCTGGTGGGCGCACATGAATGAGCTGCACTGCAAGGAGTAGGGCATGAATGACAGTGCAGTATGTTTCTGGTGAAATTTGCCATCTTGGAAAGAAAGTGGCACTAATGATTTTTTTAGCCAGTAACATTGTCCCAGGATGGATCTCTTCTTTGGTTTGTTTAAAGAGATGACCAAACATTTAAACATTGCCCTACTTTTGTGGTAGAATTAGTGCTGTCGGGTTCACAGAGAGCCCCCTAGTTTGGCAGGTGTGTGGGGATGCATTAAATAATTCCACCGTTGGGTTATCTCTGAACTTGTTATAATGCAAAGGTTATATCTCAACCTTGTAGCTTTGATTTCCTCATATATAATTTGTCTCTCTCTCTTTTTTTAAGTAGCACATGCAAGTTTAGATACCGTTCTTTGCTGCTTTGTTCTAGGGAACGTATCTCTAATCCTTTAGCTTCAGAATTTTGAAGCCTTTTAGTTCAGTCGGTTTAAGTGGCATCCAGATTAGTAGAACTCATCTTTTTACACCATTTTAATGTTTTGAGTGTGAGTAATGCTTGTGACAGTAAAGGAGTAATGGCAATGTTAAGCCAGGTAGCATGGGTGGACTGTGAACTTCTCTGCATTTTTCTGCTAGTCTCTTTGCCTAGAACATCCTTATTCCACTCTTCAAAGAATGGTGCAGTTAGCGATTCAGAAGTTAACAGACATAGTTGGGATTAGTTTTTTTGTGTTTAGGATTCAAATCAGCATCTGGGGCATGTTTTCAGTGATGGGCATATAATGCCCATTGAGAATCATTGAGTCATGGAGCCAAAAGCTTTATACACAGCTTTGATGAAGGTGGTGGATTGTGGGAAAGTGTTGCACCAGACCTTACCCTGCATCAAACCCAGATGTCTGGTTCCAGAAGTTTAGAAAGTATGCTGCCAGATTCGGTGCTTAAATTGGTAATAGCACCAGAGCTGTGATTTATACCCAAAGTTTCAAGCACTAAACACAGATCACATATTTTAAAGGAGAGAGAAAAATTTCTGACCCAACCTCATTAAGCTGAAGTTAAGATAGTGGTCTGGTAATTTAAGGAAAAAAAATCATATTAGAACATTTTAGTTTCTTTCAAAAATCAGAATCATGGTGTTGGTATGCAGCATTTTAATGTATCCATTTAAAGTACTTTTGTTTAAATATGGAAATGCACAAACAACTCAAATAACTTTAGCTGTGTTTCCCTATCCTTGTACATTCTCTCTCCAATTTAGCAGTAGTCATATAGTAGCATGTCTTACATGTTCTGCTTTGACAATGAACCTTTTTGCTTTGTAATGCCAGAAAATCATGCTTAGACTTTTTTCACATGCTTGTTCCTTGTATTAGAAATCCATTCAGTACTTGTGTAACTGGCATGGATAGATTGTCTTGTGGTTGTTCCTTGAACTGATTACCAGAGTGAAAGCATTTAATTTTCCTTAAACAGTTCCAGTTTCAGTGGCGAATGAAGAAAAGGTAATACTCAACAAGGATGCTGCCAAGTGCACTGCAGTTTTTCCCCTGTGGGTGTATGGGGGGAGGTACTGTCACAGCTCAAAGACTGGCATTATGTTTGGATAAAAGATTTATCTTTAATTCTGGCTTTACCTCTTTGCATTGTGATCCTTCAAAGCAAAAAGTCAAGTGGAAATAGGGAAGAAGGTTCTTGCTTGACATTTCTTTTTTTAAGAGGTATCTTGGGAGCTTGAAGTAGTTGGTGAATGTGTCAATCTTGCCATGTGTTCAGTTCAGGCCTTTGATGCAGGTCAGGTGATTAGGGACTGATGCCTTCAGGATAGGAATCAAGGGGCACATCGAGACACGAACGCTTACGTGCGTTTCTCTGGGGACATATAGCAGTGGGACATAATTGTGCCGCTGCTATTTGTCCCTAGGGAATGTCCATGCACGCGCACTGTGCTGTGTGGCAGATTGCCCTGGGCGGGGTAGGGGAGGCTGGGGTCCTCCCAGGGCTGCAGTGGCAATGATCTGGGTGCACAGAGCCTGACCGGCCCCCAGAGCATGGCTCTAGCTGGCTGGGCTCGTTTCAGGCAGTATATGCTGCACCCAAGTGCACCACCCCTCTTTTTTTTTTAGACCACTTTTATATCTGTATATAAATGTTTTTAGAGAACATTTAGATTAGCATCTTCCTTCCTTGCAGTGTGCTAAACTTAGTCCCCCAAGTCTCCCTTTACTACTTTGACTATCTCCTCTTGCCTGAGATTAACTTCAGTGACTACTTTTGCTTGGGATAAATTTAGAGAGGTGAGCTGGTAATTTTTCAATGTCTTGCCTGCTTCATGTGGGATTTAACTCTTTTGAAACTCTTTATTAATAATCTTGTGACAGGATGCAGAAAAGGCTGAAGTGTTCAATGCCTTCTTCGCCTCAGGCTTCACAGGCAAGGTCAGCTCCAAGACTACTGTACTAGGCAGCACAGTTTGGGGAGGAGGTGGGCAGCCAACAGTGGTGAAAGAGAAGTTGATTAGGAACAGTCAGCATGGATTCACCAAGGGCAAGTCATGCCTGATCAACGTGATTGCCTTCTATGATGAGGTAACTGGCTCTGTGGATGCAGGGAGACCAGCGGGTATGATAAGCCTTGCTAAAATCAAGGTATTTGATATGGTCTCCCACAACATTCTCGAAGGCAAGCTAAGCAAGTACAGGCTGGACTATAAGGTGGATAGAAACCTGGCTGGGGCATTGGACTCAGAGGCTCGATGTCTAGGTGGCAGCTGGTATTAAGTAGAGTGTCCTAGGGGTAGGACCTGAGGCCATTTTTTTTTCCAGTGTCTTCATAAGCAACCTGGAAGATGGCATAGAGTGCACCTTCAGCAATTTCGCAGATGACATCAAGCTGGGGGGAGTAATAGATGGGGTGGAGGGTAGGGCTAGTATTCAGAGTGACTTAGACGAATTGGAGGATTGGGCCAAAAGAAATCTCATGAAGTTCAACAAGGAGAAGTGCAAAGTCCTGCACTTAGGACAGAACAGTCCCACATACCAGTACAGGGTAGGGGCTGACTGGTTGAGCAGCAGCTCTACAGAAAAGCAGTTTGTATGCTCCAGAAATTATTTTAATGGTATCATAGCCCTTCTTGAGAGCTAGTTTAATTTCAAAGTGCCCTTTACTTTCATTGGCCGATTCCTGCATATTTTTCCCTCAGGCTGTGGGGAAGACCTACTATCTTGTATACACAGATACTTGTATGGAAGATGCAGAGAAGATATTTTAGTTTTTCTTTGTTTTAGTCTTTAAAAATGCCATTCCAGTTTGTGTGGTTGTCTGACACTTTGCATGTTGACGCTTTCTTCTGCCTTATTAATATCTTTAGTATGTTAAGGGTTTGAAGCTGGAAATGGAAATATGGTAGTCTTGAAGTTCAATGTCCCGCTATTCTAAACTTGTACAGTTCTGGCTGAGTTATGGGCCAAGAAAAATGACCTTTTGTATAAGCACAGTAAAATTTTCAGTGATATAAAATTTCCAGCAGTATTCCGACTCCTGCCAGGTTAAAATGTGCATATCTCTGGGCCTTGCTGAGGCTTTTGAGGTTACTGCAGAATGCATCTGTGGACTTACAGCTCTTCTCAGGACTAGAACTACAGGATTGTTTCTCCAGAGGGGAGAAGATATGGGTAGGATATTGCACTAGTAATTTTATTTATTGTTTATTATTCGTATTTTATAGTATAAGGGATTTAGACTTTTGGTAGATATAAAATGTTTAGTTTTGAAAACAATGCCATTTTATTGGTAACAACATGGTTGGATGTGTTGATCAGTTTAACCATTGGACTAATATGAGGATCAGAATCATCACTGACAAGAGAATGGATGTAAATCACTAAACACAGTAGAACTGAATTTGTCTGTGTCAGGCATGAGTTAAGGCTTTGGATTTTAGAGATGCAGGTTTGGATTTCTGCTCTGTTATGGATCTGTTATGTAACCTTGGGCAGGTTGCTTAACGTTATGCTTTAAAATAGGGATAATATTTCCTTTTTAAAACCCTGCAAAAGTGTAAAGTATTATTCTCAAGGGGGCTAAAATATTTAACATCTGCTTGTTTGAGACTGAAAGACGTAAACAGTCCCTTACATGTTCCATCATAGTGCCTCATTTGGATTCAGTGCTGATTTCTGAAACTTATTATATCTACAGCAAGGGACAATGGTTCATTCAGCCTCTTTCCTGTCAGCACAGGCAGATCTTGAAGCAGCTTTTTTGATGTATTGGAAAATGTTCAGTCATTAACCTTTTATTTATAAGTTGACTGACAATCAACACTGAAAACTTTTGAGTCATTGGCCTTCTAATTGGCTAGTAGTTTTACATTACCAGCAAGCATCCCACACAAAAGTTCTTGGCCACATGGGGATATTTTTTTTTTTTAAATACCAGATTTTATTTTTAGGCTCAGCTCTAAAAACAACCTTAATACATAATGTTGTTTTGATGTAGGAGTGTGAAATAAACTGTACTATAACTGAGTTGAATGCAGCAAAGTAATACAAAGATAATTATGAATTAAGATGCGGGAGTTTATAACAAGAAGTTGAGGTCATTCTAACCATATTGTTTGCTACTCGCACTTTATCTGCAAAACTTGGCTATAAATTACTGAACAGATTTTAAAGCATAGAAAAAATGGAAAGTAGTTTTATGTTGAGTTTCATTATTCATCTGGAAAGAAATGTGTTGAAAATATTTAAGTATTAATGTTACTATTTCTTATTTAAGAAATCCAGTATTTAAGTGTTCCATGTAATAAATAATAAGTAAAATTACTTTTGCAGTGATAGATATTAGTGCTGTATTATATATACTTTTTCTGTATATAGGGGTTGGAGAGAGGAGCCAAAACTCAATTTTCCACGTTCAGCAATTTCATAACAACTATTAACCAAAAGAAAGAAGTCACTGAAAGCAGTAGTTCACCTACAAAGCCTGTTATGCCCAACATCAAAAATGGTAAGAGAATAGAAATCGGTATCGTTCAGTCACTGGTTACTGTTTATATTATGGTAATGCAAGAATGTCTTTATTGCTTCAAGTTCCTCTTTGTGGTGGGCACTGTCCAAGTACATTGTAAATGAGTCTATTCCTGAAGAGCTTGCATCTTGAAAGACTAGCTCTAACAGGTAAATGAGGCAGTTACAGGGATGGAGTCCTGTGTATTTATCCACTGTTTTTAAGTATACAAGTGATATGAACAGCTTCTTATATAGTAGGCCAATTGGTAGTCATAATCACAGCTTGACACCAGCTTTGCCGTTGTCAGATAGGAGATTTTGGTCAGTATCATGGCAGAAGTGGGTTTTAAAGAGGTTCTTAAACTAAAGTAACAGGGCTTCTCAATTATTCTTTTTGTATAAACGTAATATAATGTGTCAGGATGGGAAAACAGGTATTTGTGGGGTAGGGAAATGGGTGATAAGGGCTTCTGTTTTCAGAGTGCCAAAAGTCAATCTCAACACAAAATTATATGAAGTTAAATCCTGAAGAGTTTTGAAAATGAGATATAGTGATTTTGTATTTGTGGCAATGAAGGGAAAGCCAGTACAGGGAAATAAAGGGGGTGCAGTATATTGAGCAATGAGCAAAGGAGAACCATTCTGAATGGTGGTAATTACCACACTCCAGCAGTCTCCAGCATCATGTGTATCAGCATCCCCATGCTGAAAAATGGCTGATACACATTACACTCCAGGTGCTTTAATTAGAGCCACTCTAAATAAAGTGCCCCCCTCCCACGGAGCACATCTATAAACACCCTTTATTCTTGCAGCATTGGATCCTGTGCTACTTTTGAGTGCCTGTATCCATTCTGAAAATACAGTGCTATGTGTATTAGAAGCTTTGAAACTGAAAGTTATTTCTTTATTGAACAGATTAATGTTGCAAAAATAATGGAACACTTGAAATACAAAAGGCTGGTGTGACCCCTTGGATCTGCAGTTTGTCTTCATTTACTTACTTTGGATAGGATTCTCCAGTCTGCCTAGGTCACTTTGCACCATGCAAGGAGAGCAAAACAGTCTTTAAGAAATTAGAGAAGACTAATGGAGAATTCTCTCTAAAGGAGAACTCTCTGCTGATAGAGCTACAAGGCAGTTTGTTATACACAGGGCCAAATGAGTTAGGGATGGGGTGGTATTTCATTAAGCAGGTCAGATTTTAGTAGGTTTACCTCTACTAAAATAAGGTCATTTAGGGCTACAGCCAAGCAACTGTAACTTGTATTAGAACCAGGGGCCCTGAACCAGGGAGCTACAACCAGTTACTTATGACCATTCCTTTCATTTTTGTGATAATATAGTACGCATAAACTAATACACGTAAGCTAATGCAGTGCTGTCAGTCTGTGAAGCTCTGAAAGAACTAAAATACTCTCTTCAAATATCTATTGTATTAATTTTGGACAATAGTGGTGAGAGTTTAACTGTCAATAACTACTTCACTGCTAACCATTTTTAATGGAAATGCAACTAATACTTATTCCAGAATCCCAAACCACTCTAACTTTCTGGTGTCAAAAGACCCATTTGTTTTCTATTCTACTATAAACCTCTAACTTCCTCTGAAAAACTAAACAGTTCAATCTCAATTGCCAATACGAAAATCTGTATCACATTTGAAAGACTGCGGACACAGTTACATTAACACCAAAGAGATGCTTCAGCATGAAATTTAAGATTTTTGTTTTTTAACATAGCTATTTGTATAGGTAAAGAATAGCTTTCATACCTTTGGAGTGCCAAAGTTCCAGCTTTCTATCAAGAATATAAATATGTTTTTGTTATAGTTATTACAGCATACAGTTGTAGAGGAGAAGCCACTTCAGATGTCTGTGTGGCATTGGAGATGCATTGGGGGTACATGCCCCCTCAGATTTCTGTGCCAATAATGGGGCATGGGCTGCAACTTGGCTGGAACCAGGACCCAACAGCAGTGGAGGTGGTGGCAGAGCAATTCCTGCGTCAGTGGCAGAGCATGGGGCTGCAGCCCCAATGCCCAGCAGCAGTGGGGGCGGTGGCAGAGTTGTGACCCCCACTGTGGTTGTGGCACGGAGTTGTGCCACCCCCCTCCCTACTTTCAGCACTTACATGTCACCTATGCTGAGGGGTGGCATGGACAGATGACAAGCCATTTGCCAAGTCCTATTGGTTTGTTTATTAGGATAAGGTAAGAGAATAGAAATCTTCATTGAGTACATGCATACATTTGGAATCACTTTAAAAGGGGAGCTGTTGATTGGGAGTGTCCAGGAGCTGTTATGTCTACATGTAACTATCAGAACAACTTGGGAGTGATACAAATGAAGCAAAACTGCTCCAACTTGGGATGAAACAGTTTTAAAATTGGAGCTGTTTTGCTACATTTGTATCTCCATGAAACTGTAAGGCCACAACTACTGGTGCAGTGATTCACAACCTTTCTGGAATCAAGACACCCCTCATTGCACTCGAGGCACCCCTCCATAACTTCTGTGATTTGAATGGCACCGTGTTTCAGAAACTAATTTTTAAATATATTTTTGCACATTATATTGCATCATGTTTATTTTCTTGAAGAGTGGGTGGGCAGTGGGGATGGGGGATTGGTTAAGAATCACTCAGCTACAATGTAGTTTGGAGCAAGAGTCCTGTCTCCTGCCCTTCTTTGGAAATGGCTCCAAATGTCCTTGTGTCCATACTCTTAGATCAGGGGTGCTCAACCTCCAGCCCACAAATCAAACATGGCCTTCAGAGCCATCACATCTGGTCTGTGGGGATCTCCACAGCTTGGGAAATTTGCCAGTGGGGAAGCAGTGGCTGTTAATGCAGCCATATTCCCAAACACCAAGTCCTGCACACCCAGTCGCAGCCAGGCCATGCTCCCTCCTGCGAGCAGGGCAGGGTTGGGGCTGGGACATGCCACCTTTTTCCCCACAGGGCCAAGCCATGTCCCCTTTTCCCTGCAGAGCTGGGCTGGGGTTAGGCCATGCCCCCTTTTCTTTGTGGGGCCAAGTTGGGGTGTAGCCATGCCCCCCCCCCGCAGGGCTGAGCCATGCCCTTCACCTCCCTGCCAGGTCACGCTCCTCCTGCTCCCTCCCCACAGGCCTGGATGAAGTCCCTTCCCCTCTCTACAGGGCCAGGCTCAGGCTGGGCTGTCCCCCACCCCACTCTGCATGCCAAGATGGTGTCCCCTCTGCTGATCCCAGCTACTAGATTGAAACCACCATCCAGCCTGTGGTCAGACCAAGCATTGCCATCTGAGCCTCCAAATCTCTTCAGCCAAATTATACATGCCAGCTAAAGCATGCTAGAACAGAATTGCTTAGCTATTCATACCTCATTAAGGTTTGTTACTCTGTTGTTCAATAGACACCATTAATCTATCAAGCCAGCTTGTGGCACTTGTGGTTTGGGAAGCTGCTATGTGTGGTACAGAAGATCAGAGAGAGGCAAGGGAGCACAGGACAGGGAGTAAAAAGCAGAGCATCAGTGAGGATGGGGACCACGGGGAAAGAAGCAGAGCAGCAGATAGGATAGGAAGCACAGGACCAAGAACAAAATCAGAGCAGCAAATCAGGCGGGGAGAGAGATCTATGGCATTAAAGGAAGGCGTAGGGCTTAATCTGTGGCAGGTCCATCAAAAACATTGGACCCCACTGCTTTTTAGGGTGTATTTAATTTTTTAACTTGGTTGTATTAATTCAGAAACACATTTATTTAGGCCATAACAATATTTCTTCCTTTATTTACTCTTGCAGCTCTTTTATATCTAACTTTACACATGTGAGTGGTCTTCCTGATTTGATACACGAAAGTATAAATACTTGCTAAGGTAGTAGCAGGATTAGGACTTAAGTATGTAAAATTAGTCATTATGGGACCAGGGAACTGCTTGACACAAAAGAGTATCTTTTGTAGATTGAGCAAAGTCTGATATAACTTCGTGCTTTGAACTAATACTTATTAAAATAAATGACAATTTTGAAAGCTTTCCACTGATATTCCAGAAGTCGCATGTGAATTATGACATTCTGTTAAATAAATTGAGTAGAGAAATGCTTATAAATGAATGTTTGATTATGTTTGATAAGTTAAAGTGGGAGGAATATTATATTTTTATGAAAAAAATTAAATGGGATATGTACTGTTGCTAATGCAACATGAAAGCTAGGTTGAAGTTCAGTTGCTGTAATATCTGTTATAAAGGTTGAATTTGCAGAACAATTAATGAGGCAATATGTGTGTAAAATGAAATATCTTATTAATGACCTTGATTGTTCTAGTTCTGTTCTCCAATTAAATATAAACAAGGTTTGTTCACTTTGATTATTTTGGACAATTTCATCTGTTCAGTGTCTCAAAGTGATAGAAAGTCTACTGTTCTATACCTATTCATTTTTAATTTTGCTGTAATAATTATTTCCTGTTTGTCTCAGTAAGGCTTTTTTCCACTGCAATTTGCAGACACCCCCTTATTGTCATACTCTGATTAAGTGTTTGTATTCGGTGTAGCTAAGCAACAGGCTAAAAAGGATAACATGATATTATAAGAAAAGAAAAGGTTATCACTGCTTTAGCAGCTCGGTACATAAGGTTCCGAGTTTTTGCTGAATGGAACTTAAATAACAGGTTTTCAACACTCTATACTTTTTCACTTTGCAGAGAGAGTGCCTATAAATCAATGATTTTTTTTTTTTTAATATTAAAAAACATATCCTGTATTTAATATAAACATGTTTCTTTTTAAAAATAGATTATGTAACTTTACATTTTAACAGAGGTTGTCAGTTTAAAGTTTCCCATCTGTATTGAATTTATTAAAATCAGTTTAATTTAAAATCAGTTTAATTTAAATAAAACAAATTATAAAGGTACATTTGATGTTAAAAGTTTTAAAGCAATTCGGGCCATCAGAGTGGTGGAACTTATAGGCTAAGTACCGAACCTACCATTTCAACCAATTTCTGACAGCAG